GGGCGGAGGCCCCCCCTGCGCCCCCCCCCCCCAGTGGAGGTGTGTGTGGACTGGAGCCCAGCTGCCTGCAGCCTTCTCTTGGGTGCTTGTTCATGATGACTCCTTATGTCCCTGTCCCCTTCTAGCTTCTGTATATACACCTTTGTCCCACCCCATTTCCAGGCTTAGGTTCCAAAGGACAAAGGGACCAAAATGGGGACTGACCAAAAAGAAATCCTCCCCACCTGGGGCCACAGTCTCCAGTCTCCAGGGACTGGGTGTCTTGGGCAGGCACTGGGGAGAGGTGCTCGGTGGTTCTGTCCCTACAGAGGCAGTGGGAAACATCAAACATGGTGTTTAGAGCTTGGCTTGGGAGTCCATCAGCCCTGGGTTCAGATCAGATCTCCACTCAACTGCTTACTAGTTGTGCAACTCCAGAATTGCAAGTCTCTTACCCTCTCTAAGCCTCAGTTTTCTCATCTGTAAAGTGGGGGCAATGAGAGCCCTCATTAACCGAGACAAACATGTAACGTACCTGGCCTGGGGCTTCCTAAATAGTCTGATCTCGGTAAACCGGGGCTGCTATCCCTGGCAAACGTGCCATAACCCAGAGCACTGCATGAGGCAAACGGTTCCCGTTCTCCGAGTCTCGGACTGGACGACTGAGGGCTGGGGATAGTCTGGAATGTCAGATCTGGGACGAGTTCACAGTCCTCTGCTGGGGGTCAGGGAGGCTGTGAGGAGAGGGGATTGCCTGGGACCCCTCCCCCACCCCCCACATTCAGGGAGGGAGATCTGGCCACCCCTCAGCTATCAGACCAGCAGAAGAGAAGGCCTGGGGCTGCTCTGCACATGTCGCCGCTCTCCTTAGCCATAGCCCCCTTTGGGCCCCACAATCCACTCTCCACGTCCAGGCCCGCATGGTGGCCCCTGGAGCTGAGGCCCTTAGGAGGCAGGAGGGGGCAGAGCCACATCTGGGAGAAGCCATGTCGAGTGCCTCCCATTCTCACAGTGCGGTGGTTACTGAGAAAGCTTCCGCTGCTCGGCTTAAGCACTACGAGGAGCAGCAGGCCGGGTGCAACCGAAGTGGGCGCCGGGCGCCTTCCTGAGGCTGAGACTAGGAGGGTGGGAGCTTCGGGGGAGCTGCCTGAGGCCGGTGGCCCTTCAGGCTCCCACCCACCAGAACGGGCTCTGGTCAGGGCCACTGCCCTTGAGAGAAGCCTCTGCAGGAGAGGGCGGGGAGCCTTGGGAAGCTCGGGGGGAAGGGCAACACTGGCCAGGTGGGCCGGGCAAGGATGGGGCGCATCTCAGTGCTCACCACGGACAGGGTGAGGGCCTATTCGGTCCTTCCCAGCCTGTTTCCCACTGGCCCCACCGGCCACTTTTCTGACTCACCAGCCCTTCTGGCCCAGCTGGCTTGAGGTGGAACCTGTGAGATGTTTCCAGGCAAGGCTGCGGGCATGGGAGGAGGAGATGGGGTGCAGAGAGAACAAACCCGCTCCAGGAGTGTTACTACAGGGAATGACAGGCCTCTCTCAACTGAACTAATTTCTGCCCAACCGCAGCCTGCTCCTCCCCGTGGGGAGCTCACAGCGCCTCCACCGGCCGCCTCTGCCTCTCGCTCGTCTGCGTGCTTGACAAGCTCGGCTGGGAATCGGCCTCCTTTCTCAGCAGCCCATAAAAGCCTACTCGGCTCAGCTCTCCCTAGGGAGGGGCCCGGGGCTACATGCTGCCGGCCCATTAGGACAGGGCAGAGCCAGAGAGGGGCCCGGCGCCTGGAGTCAGGGCCCGCCCTCCAACGTGAGGATCTGCTGGGACGACAGGGCTGGGAGGCTTTCACTCAGGAGACACTGCTGATAGCAAGGTCTTCCAGGCCCGCCGTGGAAGGTCGGGGAGCTGTTCTGGCCGGGGGCCCAGGAGGTGGGGAAGTGAGGAGAGGGCTGGGAGCAACCTGGACACGGGTCTCAGGAGGGAGGCGCCCTTTGAGGGGCCGAGAAGAGCGGGATTTCCATTCCCTACTCCTGCCGAGGACCAGTCCCAGTGCCGCCTGCCTGGCATTTCTGGTTTAGTGGAGTGGGCTCTGTCAGGACGTTCATGTGACCACCGGCTGGCCGAGGGGCCAAAAGATACTGCTGGGAGCACCCTGTATACAAAACCAGGCCGGGGGGTGGGTGGCCAGGGAGCCAGCCCTGCAGATGTTACTAAGTGAAACCTGATGTGGCGACATGAGAATCTGCAGAACGTCTTACAAACAGCCTTCCCTGGGATGTTTTGGATTGAACTTTGCGGCTATGACGTGAAGGAGCCTCACATGTCAGGATAAAAATAGCTCTGGCCTCAATACACAACGCGAGTTACAGTTCAACAAAACCAGATGCGAAAACACCAGGCGCCCAGCCCGGGCCCAGAAGGGTCCCTGCTCCGCTAGCCCTCCCAGCTACCTCCCCCGAGGGCTGGGGCCGTGTGCCTGGCCAGCACCTCCAGTGGGCATCTGGCTCCGCTGCCCTGAGAGGAGGTGGCGCAGATGCAGGTCCTGTGGCTGACTGGCAGGGCACTCTTGAGGATGTGACACCTTCCCTGGGCCGGTAGCTATCTGTGAACCTCGCGGGGGTTAGGAGCATAACACCGTGCCTGGCACAGGAAGTGCTCCGAGGAGCGGGCTGCGTGACTGGGAGGCTGGTATGGGACCGAGGGGGACGAGCAGGGAAGGGAGAGCCTACATACAGAACATGGGCCGGGAGACAGGGAGGCCCCGGCCACTCGGGAAGCAGGGTCTCAGCGGGTGTGTAGTCCACCGAGTCAGAGGGCCCAAACCCTATGGCTGTGTGGACAAAACGGTGGTTGAGATGTTGCAGCAACGGCACCCTCGGGACCCAATCCAAAAGGCAGAAACTTTCTTTTCTGTGGAAAAGCCAGGGAGTTCTCTGCCCTGGGCAGTCACCCAAATCCAGGAGGCTTTCCAGTTGCCTGGTTCAGAGCAAGAGATAAGCTGATGGGCCAGGGCAGGGCATGGGAGGACCTTCCAGCTGATGTGGCGGTGGAGAGGGGCCGCGCTGCCCCTGCTGGGAGAGCAGGGGCTGGGGCCAAGGGGGCGCTGGAGAGACCAGGAAGGGGCCTGGGTTGAAGGGGGCCAGGTTCTCCATCTGGGGACAAGTGAAGGCCTGGGCAGATGTGCTAGGGGAGCCTCAGACCCGACAATGGGGACTGGGTGATTGGTCCTGGTACCTGCTCCTCCTGTCAATTTAAGAAACTCTGAAAGAGGGGTGCTGACCCTTACTGGGCGCCTGACGCTGGGGGGTCAGAGGTGAGTACAGCAGGCCCCTGCAGTATGAGCTGGTGTTTCTCAAACTGAGGAGCACACAAGTCACTCAGCAATCCTGATAGAATGCGATTCTGACTCCAGGGTGGGCCTCAGTGTCTGCATTTCTGATGAGCTCTAGGCAATGCTGAGGCTGCCATAACCTGCACTTTCAGGGGGTCTAAGAGGTCACGGCCAGGGGGGAAACAGATGCGAACCCCACAGTGTGACTGGTGGAAGGAACAAAGTGCGAGAAAGGAGTCTGGCCTGGGATATCCTGGAAAGCTGCATGGAAGAGAAGCCATCTGAGCTGGCCTGGAGCACGCGTAAGCTCTTGTAATACAGAAGGATGGAAGCAAAGGCAGCACTTTACACATACAGGGCATTTATCTTACCCCCCTCCATGCAAGCGCTCACAAAGCCCCCCAGGGGTCCATCACCCGATTTACACAGGAAGGAGAGGTGGCACCAAGGCAGGACACTTGCCCAAGGTCACAAGACAGTCAGGGCAGAGCTGGGTTGTGAACCTAGATCTTTTCGACCCCAGCACCCGTGTGCTTTTACACTGCCCAAAAAGGGTGTGTGGGCTGGGAAATGGTCTGGTGTGGCCGGAGTAAGTAGAGGGCAGGCCAGAGGGGAGGCAGCAGAAGGGCAGGAAATGAGGTGCTGAGGTGGCTTAAGGCTGGAATGGGGCCCCTGAAGTTGCTGTGAAGAGGAGGGATACCCCCCAAAACTGCCAGGCTGAGGCCACAGCCCAGCATGCAGAGGAGGAAGCTGGACCACCGATTCCACCACCACTGCTGGACAGGGTGGGGTTCACGTGTGTTGCCATCTTCTGAGTGTGAAGGTGAAGAGAGCAGGCTCTCAGGCCAGGCTCCTGGGCCAGCACCACCGCTGCCATGATCCCCCAGCCCAGGTGGGAATGACAGCAGTGCCCTCCTCAGAGATGGCATAAGGGTCAAGGGCTGATCCACGGGGAGGGTTCAGTGAGCTGACGTGAGAAGTGCTGAGAACGGTGCCCAGTCCTAAACAAGAGCTCAGCATATTACAGTCACCACTATTATTGGCAAAACTACCAGGGATGGCTTCCCGGGTTTCTTCTAGAATTTATTTCTGCACTTGGTCATGCCAGGCCGGGCTATAAGCAACAAAACTGAATCAGAACGTTCATTTTTGCCCGTGTGTTTAGAGCTGGGACCAGAGAGCCCTGCAGGGCACATTGACACGAGCTGCTTTATCCCAAGAATGGGCCCCGTGGCCAGAAGGGAAGGTCATGAAGACTGGGTTTTGGGGGCAAACGTCAGTCCTGGGGTGACTTTTGGTCCCAGATCACCACACTGCTGTGGTGCGGGGCCCGGGGGCCTGTCTCTCGTGCAGCAGGATGTCCAGGCCCGTCTCCAATGACGGACTCAGCCCAGAGCCTGCCTGCTCCTGCTGGGCCTGCCCACTGCAGGCCTGCTCCAGAGGGCTCACCATCCCCTCTCCCCAGAGCCTGGCAGGGCCCCAGCCATGTGGAGCCTCACAGAGAAGGCACAAAAGTTGCCAATTCACAGGGGACCCAACCGGTTGTTTTCGTGTCATATCACCAAAACACAAGTTAGGGAGACAGGGAGCCCTCCACAGGCTTCCCTCGGGGCCGCCCACCCAGGCAGCTCCCCTCTTGACTGCCCCAGAGGTGGTGGCCCTCTCCCCAGCCCTGGGGCTCTGCCAAGGTCAGGAGTGAAGGGGGGCAGGCCGGGGTGGGGTGGGGTCGGGGGAGGGAGACCACTGCCTCTGCCTCTGCTGCTCTGTGCTGGAGCCAGAGATGTTCATGCTAGGCCAGGCGAGAGCAAAATCCCCTGTGGACAACTATGCCTGTGGCCCTGGGGACCATTCCTGTGGCGCTTTTAGGCCAGCATAGCAACTATCCAGGCGTGTAATGGGCTGGCTTCCCTACCGCTCCTGATGCGTTCAATCTGCACCCTCCGAGTTTACAGACCCGACAGGAAGGCAGGGCCATTTAGCTCCCTACAAACACCACCGGTTTCCTCTTTGCCTGGCTCCCAGCCTCCCTGGCTTTCCAAAGTGCCTTTACAGGGACGGGAGGGTGGGGTGGCAGTAAGGTGGCAAACGACCTTAAAGGGACACTGCTCTGCACTCCGCAAGTTCTCAGAGCTGTGCCCTGGAGAGCAGAGGAAGGCAGCGACCAAACAGGAAGAGGGGCTGGCCTTGCAGCCTCTGTGCACAGCCAGATGGAAGCGGACAGAACAACCCCCTCGCACGCCTGAGAAGCATGGGAGAAAGAGCGGCCGCAGGGAATGAGTGCGCACTTCCTGCGTGCTTTCTGACTCACACAGGCACCCCTACCATCCTAACAGCTCTGGGGCCTTTAGGGCCTGGCGTGTGCCCTCCCCAAGGTGGCTGAGGTGGCAGAGGGGACAGGGTACAGCTCTGGCTTCCCATGCTCTTCTATTACTGCCTTGAGCTTGACCTTTTAAAACCACGGACCCGTCGGACAGATCTGGGGTCAACTATGGACAGCACGCATGTGTGGTTCCCACACTCGCTGCAGGGCACACATAGGTCTCGGGCTAAGAGCTCGGGGCCCATGGCGCTGTGTATCCTTGAAGTAGGGAAGCATTACTAGCTTCAGGCACTTCCTTGGTGCTCTTTCCAGGATGGAATTTCTTCCCATCTGGCATACTCAGCTGTTTTCTATGAATTCAGGGTGAGGCCCTGGCTGATGTGAGCCGGTCTGACAGCCTTGTGAGCTGGGGCAAATCTTCACCACCTTGGCCTCCCTAGCGGCCCACCTGTCTTGACAGGGCCAGGAGCTGGGGTTCAACCTCTTTGCCCTCCAAGTCCCTTTCAGCCCCTGCTCCCAAGCAGTGGAGGGCTTGCTGCCGGAACTCCCTGGACCAGGCCCTCTCCAACACAGACCTGAGCTGTTCATGGCTGTTTTCTGGCCCATCCCTCCACTAGCCAGTAAGCGTTTCACAGTCATCGGCTTCTCTGTGCCCGGGAGGAAGAGAAAAGATACCTTACAGATGGAGGGACAGATCACAGACAGTCCCGGGAGAACAAGGTGTCCCCTGCCCGAGGCTATGCTGCCTCAGCTTCTCCCCCTGAGGATGCGTGCTAACTGCTTCCTGGGCAGGGAGATCTGGGGGCCTGGCTGCACCGGCGGGAACCCCTCCCTCAGCTGCTGCTCTTCCCCCTTGTCCCACCCCTGCGGCAAGGCTTGGCCTCACACTCAACCTCTGGCACACCTGCCGCCCATCCAGAGACTTCAGGCTGACACCCAAGTGCTGACTTGGGGACACAGGATGGAGAATGGACTCCTGAGCTGTGGGACAAAGGGTAGGAACCTCCTCCCGAGGGGTCTCCTGGTCAGGACGTGGGAGCCTCCCGGCCGTGGCCTCTGACTGCCCAGAGGAAACGGCTCACAGGCAGGGAAACCACCATGTCCTGTGAAACGAGAGAAGGAAGCTGGGCTGCCGCTAGAGCCCCTTACTCCTTCCTTGCTTCAGTCAGAAACAGCTGGAAACTTGGGACCAGCTGCAGGCCCAAGAATGTGCACAGTGGTGGTAGCCTGAAGCCTGGGGTCCTATGTGACACCCCACTGCAGGGGCTTCAATTCAAGTGTCATCAGGCAGATGTCTTCAATGCATAGGCGTTCTGTGATTGAATGGCAGCCCTGGGGTCACCTCCAATTCCACCGAGCAGGTGTCCTCAGGGCCGAGTACCGGGACACCTTCTGGGACCAGTGTGGTGGGGCTGCAGGAGGGAAGCTGCCACTGAAAGGCCCCAGATCTATTTGACTCTTGGCTTCTGCATCAAAGGAGGTCTAGGACCTTGTATCTGGATGTCAAGAGCTGCTCAGGGGACAAAGAGACACCCCAGGCAAATGCCCAAGATTCGCTGGGTACTTTCCTTCCAAGTCGCATCCCTGGGCATTTTCCAGGATTGTGTCACTGGAGGGAAGAGGTGTCTGCCTGGGAGGGAGAACCTGGGAGTCACACAGGCCCAGGGAGAAGAGCCACCTGCTGCCTGGAAGGACGCTGAGGGGTGAGCTCCAGGAGTGCCACGGCCACCTTCACGTTGAAGAACTGCCGGGGAACATCCTGTCTGAGTTATCTGCTCTCCGGCCTGGGCTGCCTGCCATGTTATTTTTAGCTTCTCGATGAGGAAGGAAGCGGCTGCCTCGTCTTCCACCTGTGACACCCAAGACTCCGAAGCCCCTTGATTCCTGACTGGGAGACGACACCCCAGGGA